GGGCGCGTAAAGTATAAATTGTCTCCTACACAAACAATTCCTCTCCGCAGAGCGAAGTGCAAATCCCACCAGGATCTCTCGTCGTGTCGCGTCGCGTCGCAGCCGGCACTCTTGTTTTCGTCGCGCTTTTATCAATTTGTTTTCTCTCAACGATCGCACACGCACGGAGGGAATTTTATCGCTGACGAAGCGACCCTCCCGCGAACACCCGGGCGAGCAACGAAGCGCGCGCGGCGAGAAATCATAATTGTCGTTGCAATTAATCGCGACGGCCAAACGTACCGTCACGCACACGATTGTTGCGCGCACGATTGCGTTGGTCGGCCATGCGATACGATGCGATGCGATACGACGTCGTACACTCCATGATGTAAAACCGAACGGAACGCGCGTCGAGATCGTGATGAGAAGACAAGGCGACGCGGCTGCTGTCGCTGTTGCTGGGACTTGCACTCCATTGTCACAGCCCTTTACCGCCGGCGCGGACGCATCGTACGTCACATGACTCTCTCGTAATAATACCTCCTTACAGTAGGCCAAACGCATCGAGTTTCGTCGTCGTTTTCAAAAATATACGCTGACTACTTAGGCTTTCGACGAACGGAAAGACGTTGTCTCGTCCAATATATAATCGGGATAATTCTTTCTGTTTGTTATTTTGTTATTTTTCTTTCTCTTTCTCTCTCTCTTTCTCTCTCTCTCTCTCTCTCTCTCTCTCGCGCGCGTCTTCTCTCTTTGTCTTCAGATATACAGCGTGTGTGTTATACCTTCTAGCATACTTCGTTTATAGCCTAGATATAAGTGAGACCCTCATATGATCCATTTGAATTACTTCGTTTCGCAATTTTCTCTCTGTTTTTCTCGCAATTTCTCTCTCTCTCTCTCTCTCTCTCTCTCTCTCTCTCGCTCTCTTTCTCTCTTTCCCACTATTCCACTCTTTCTCTCCCTCTCTCGACCGTGTGAAACATTGAGACGTATCGCACTATTTACATGGATTTAATCATAATCGTAATGGAAATAAATGCAAAAATATATGTATATGTATGAACATTTAGTCGAGCTACGAGCTATCCGCGCTTTCGACCGTCCGCGCGAATCCACATACAGCCGCTCTCCCGATGCGAATTCTCTCTCTTTCTTTCTCTTTCGCGCACGCGACCCTCCCCCGACACGGCTGCCGCGTGCCGCCAGAGAGTGTCCTTCTCTTTCTGTTTAAATTCTAGAAACTAAAAACCATCGTAGCAATTAAACTTACGTACTATTGTCTTTTGTTCGAGATATCACTACGCCAAGACATTCACTGGTGTAGCTCCCCCGTGCTCGCGTTTCTCTCCTCGCGCGAATTCTCACCGGTGGGGGAGAGGGATGCGCTCAGTGTGCACGAACTGTCGATCCGCTCGTGTTCGCGAACATAACAACTCGGAGGGTTTCCGAGAAAGCCGAAATCACCAGTAAAACACAAAAACGCATTTTTAACGTACATATTAACGTGCGACCGAGCGTGTGTGTATATGTGTGTGTGTGTGCTTCACTCACGCTCATGCGTCTCACACCGATTAACGTCGTAGAAGCGTAGTACGACGGATGGTCGTTCAATATGTGCGTGCGTGCGTGCGTGCGTGCGTGCGTGCGTGCGTGTGTGTGTGTGTGTGTGTGTGTGTGTGTGTGTGTGTGTGTGTGTGTGTGTGTGTGTGTGTGTGTGTGTGTGTGTGTGTGTGTGTGTGTCGCGTACACGTGGCACATACACATGTCGCGCGTGTAAAAGGTAAAAGTATACTTATGTAGACGATAACACGGTCAATGAACTATCTACGGTATTGACTTCGGGTTTCGGCAGTGTGAAAACTCCGTTCTCTGCGACAGTGTGTCGGATTCGCTTCGCTTCTTCTTCTTCTTCTTTTTCTTCTCCTCGCTCGTTTTTCGCAAGAGTTTTTTACGCAAGTTACTCGAGTTACTCGAGGGACGACGATCGCGACGCACGCAACATAAGCAACATAAGTGGTTAATAATGCGGGAATAATTAAAGCGCGAACGCGCGAGTTATGATATGCAAATGCGTCTGCTCGGTATATGGCGCGCTCGTGTCCTGGAAATCGTTTTCTTTTCTCGGCTCGAGGATATCGCGTGCACACGTGTGGCTGCTCGGGAATTCACGCATGTGACCTCTCTTCCTTTCTTTCTCCCTCACGCGCGCGCGCACACACACACACACACACACACACACACACACACACACACACACACACACACACACACACACACACACACACACATACATACATACACACACACGTGGGACAACCTCGATCCGAAGGTGGCAGTTGCATGTCGGAATGAAAGAGTCAGAAGGAAAAAATGAGCGAATAATCCGCCGTGCGTTTGCGCTAACGCGCTCGGAGAAAATCTCCAGCTTGCTAAGTCATCTCAAAGTCTCGGGGCGGTGTGAGGGGAGAATTCGCCGTGGTGTTTACCGCGACGGGGATATCAATTCGCTCGCTCTCGGGGGCGTGTACGTGGCAGCCGAGGGCAATTATCGCGGGGATTACAATCTTCCCTCGCGACGATTGGCTTCGGTCCTCTTCCGCTTACCCCTCGAAGGTTCTCGAACACCCCAGTGAAATACGAAAGAGACGGACTCGCGCGTCGGGTGTTCTCGTCATTTAGCGCTAAGTGTGACGACTATCCAGCACTAAGCGTCACCGGGAGGAAAATGCCGAGTTTCGAGAACGGACCGTGCACATTTAGCGCTAAACTCGGCCATCTAGCAGCGGTGCCGCGTTCAGGGAGAACGCCGTTAACTCAAATAGCATCGTAAACGACACGGGGATGCGGGACAACAGGGGTTGCTGGGGGCGGGGGAGTGGGAGAAGGAGGAAAGAAGGTTCAACATCGCCACGCGCGCTCTCTCTCTCTCTCTCTCTCTCTCTCTCTCTCTCTCTCTCTCTCTCTCTCTCTCTCTCTCTCTCTCTCTCTACGACTCCGTGCGTTTCTCTTCTCCTTGTAATAACGATTGTCTCGCCTCCCTCAGCCTCGAATCGTCGGGATAAGCCGACATCGACGCGAAAGTAAACAATGGACGGTCATGACGGATATGCCCGCTCCTGCGAGAAGCTGCGAGCTCTATATTATAAAGGGGCTATCGCGCGCGATCATCAACTGCTATCGGTTGTATCCCGGAAATCAATATCAGCATGAGACTGTGCGGTAATCGGTGCTCAGCACGGAAACGTCAGCGTGTATATCGGCGATACCGATACGCCTCGGAGAGCTCTGGGATAACCAATGTCAATCTGCGACTTGGAAGACAGATGAATAGACTCGCGATACGTAACGCGGCCGCGTATCGATTCCGGAAATGAGCGTGATTCGCCGGCGACACAATTTTACAGTACATTATTCCCTTATTCTCTCTCTCTTTCTCTCTCTCTCTCTTTCTCTCTCTTTCTCGGAATTCCTCGGGGCGAATGTCGCTCAAAACGAGTGAAGGTTCACTGGAACCAACGGTGAAGGTACTCGGAATCGTGAGAGTGAATGTTTCAAGCAAGCTCAGAACGAGTCCTGCGACTCCGCACGAGTGAATATTTCAGTCGGTCGAGGCGAATTTGATCCTGTCACGATGAAATACGTCAGATTCTCTCGATCTCGAGCGGAAATATTCGTTCAACCATTCAGAGCGGAGAATTCGCCTTGTGCGAGTAAGAGATCACTCAAATTCGTACGATTCGGCGTCGCTCTTCTTCTTGAAGAAAACTTCACACCAAAACTTCACATCTAGAAGATACGATCCGTTACCGAGGTAACTCGCTAGCAAATTTCAACGGGATTTCTCCTTTCCTACCAGAACACAAGACCAACCTTACGAAGAACGTTGAGGCGTTCTCTCTTCTTCCAGTTTCGAGCCGTGACATTAGCTAGTGTACCAACACCGATGTATTCTGATAATACCTCTACCGATCGATGATTCAACATCATCATGTTGTTTTATGAAACTTCACCAAACTCGCGATCACATTCGCGAGCAATCTGGAATCTGCGTCAGTGGCCGAAGTGAACAAGTAACGGTCGCTCGAAGGATATCTCTAAGAAGTCTCGCGGACTTGCCGATCATCGTGATGTTGATAACCGTGCATAGTGATGTCCAAACACAATCGGTGCGACGCGACAGCGTACACGATCGGCGTGTGTCCTTAGCGCGAAGCAACCGAAGCAACCGAAGAACGAAATTATTGCCGCGGATATCCTCCTCCTCGGGAGCGTGTGTATGCGTGTGTGTGCGTGCGTGTGTGCGTGTGGCTGTGTATATGTGTGTGTCTAACGTCTGATTGCGCGTATTTGCAGAAAATATATGTACCTACTTTCTCCCGTCGGCGATCGACAGCGTCGATATTCGGAGCTTCGATCGTCCGATACGCCGCCGGTTGTATCGCGGTTCCTCCCTCTCTCTCTCTCCCTCCCTCCCTCTCTCTCTCCCTCCCTCTCTCTCTCTCTCCCTCCCTCTCTCTCTCTCTCTCTCTCTCTCTCTCTCTCTCTCTCTCTCTCTCTCTCTTTCCTTTTCCCCTCTCTCTTTTCTTCGGGGCACGAAGTAACGCTAAGGCGAGCGGACAAAAACTACGAAGAGCTACAGAGCAGGTGAAATTGGAGAAAGATGGGAAGGCAAGACAGCAGAGGAACGATAAAATTATCCCCGGACCTGTTCGAGGAGAGAAGCTCTCTTCCTCGGAGGAGCTTCTCCTCTCCTTCACGGGGTTACCGTCGCTCGTTCCTCGTCGAGCGGTCGATTATAACATACCCCTACTTAGAATTGAATCGCGGAGGAGATCGCTGCACGACGTCTCCCCGCTCTAGGAAGTAACCGTGGAAGGGAAAGGCGTGTTTACAGCGAACCTGGTGCATCATCCTCGTCTCACGTCAACGTTCTCTCTTCGCTCCTCGCACACACATACATACACTCTTTCTCTCCCTTTCTCTCTCTCTCTCTCTCTCTCTCTCTCTCTCTCTCTCTCTCTCTCTCTCTCTATTTACACACTTCCTCATACTTTCTTTCTCGCGCACAAAACAGAGTCCTCGAGATTGTTCAGGCGCATGATGAGTGCCGGACCGTCAGCTGCGGTGCATGTCGTCGCTCGCGAGGCCGCGCCGTTCTCATCCTTCTCACCATCTACGGCGAGACGACGACGATCGACATGACGGTCAGGACGACCCGGTTGCCGGGGACCGGAACCAAAGCGACGACACTGTCGTCTTCGTCGTCATTTACAGACGCGTGCTCCTCTCCGTGATCGCGACCGGCCGGTCCTCCTGGTCGTCCTGAGCGACGGCGCGGTACTTGCCGCGCACCGAGCTGGGCCCGAAGATTGGCGAGCCTCAGACAAGATGGCCGTCGATGTCGGAGTACGTCGGCGTCGCAGCAAACGTGGAGAGCGGGTGACTCTGACACGACGGCGGCGGCGGCGGCGGTGGCTGCGAGTGCTGCGAATGCGGATGCGAGTGCGGATGAGGGTTCACGCCGCCGGCGCGGGCGAACGTGGCTGGCGGAGGCGGCACCGACGGCGGTATCGGCGACTTGGTGCCGGCGGTCATCACCGTGACGTCCGGCGGCGGCACCGGGCGCGGCAGCGTCCTGGTGCGCGTCAGCGTGCCGGTGCTACCCGCCACGTGACCCATTATGTGACCGGTCGAGCCCATGGACGAGGGGTAGTAAGGCCCACCGGTCGGGTCCCCGATGGAGGGCGGCGCCGGACTCGGGTTGCCGTCGTAGCCCATGTAGCGGCCGTTGTCCATCTCCACGCTGTAGAAGCTCACGTCGTTAGGCGGCGCCGGGCTCGGGTTGCCGATGTAACTCGACTTCGACACTGTAACGTTAGACGACGACAAGGTGACGACGTGCGAGGTGGATAACGCGGACGGTAACCTTAGACTTAGCCGTTAGACTTAGACGCTAGGGATGTCCCCGGGACACCTCGACGGACAGTTCAGCGACCGCGAGCCTCACCGATTGCGATGATCGCGTTCGCGTTTGTACGCCTCGGTGTTTCTTTCGACGCTGCGGCCGCCGACGGCCCCGACGGCCAGCGGCGGGGATCTGCGGGAAACTCGAGTGGAAGGAGCGAATTGGAAACTTAAGGCGGTGGCTTTGCCATCGCTTCCTTATGTTTTCGTTCTTCAAAGTCGCGCTATCGATGAGACAGGGTTATTGTAAGTTAATTTATCGCTGGAAATCGGTGAAGAATACTTAGCCGCGTACTGATTACCGTACTGTCGAGAGACCGAAATTGGATAAGTTGCGCAAGTTATCCCGGTTTGTAGCGAACGAGGAACATTAGATCGACATCTTGAGCATTGTTAACCTTATGTGCGTCTCTCGTGGCATTTTCACATTCTTGAGACTGTTCAAGGATATTACCGAGCAATAGGAAAAAAATAAAAAAATTTCGAATATCGCGGAAATGTCGTCGGAAATGTCAAAGCATTCAATGCTGCTCGCTCTGATGCAACGTTAAATACCACAAATTGGCGGACATTATGCGCTGTTGAACATCGTTACTCAAGGACATTCTATTGATAATTTTTTTTTATTCACTAAGTCGTACGACACGTACCCGAAAGAGTCCCGCTGGCGGTGGTTCGCTGCGGCGGCGAGTCCATGTTCATCGACGTCTGCATGTGATTGCTGCGACGGCCGAGGGTGCCCTGATGCACCTGCATCTCTAAACCACCTTTCCCGAAATCCTGCATAGTTTGATCTATTAAATACGTGCTAGCTGCGGTTTTGCGTCCCTCGTCCTATCATGCAACAGAGTGAACGGCGATCGTTAATTCGTGACTTGCGTCTCGACGTTCGCTTGTTGTTGTTGTCGTTGTTGTGCACTCGCAAACAGGATCGCCGTGAAACGAGTCCCGGTAAGGGACGACGACGACGACGACGACGAAGACGACGACGACGAAAAATTTTCCAATGAACCCACCGATATATGCAATCGGTAGCAGAATCTATTTCTATTCGAGTCAACTGTCGCGTCTGCGTACAATGGAATCCCCCGCAATCTTATATTTCATACTCGTGTGAAAGCATTACTTTTGCATGGGACTGAATTTGCAGTGGTTTTCCTTTTCCTCCGTTTGCGTTTCACGTCGCTCTTGATAAATAATATATCGATGTAAGCCTCGACGTCTTCTTACACCTTGGATTTCATCGCCAATGAAAGTATGAGTAATGGAGCGGAGCGTTAATAATGCAAGATGCAATATTGCGACATTCCCATCGTTGTTGAGAGAGACAGCAGATCGATTATACTCCCGTTATCGTTATACTCTGCCATTTCGTTACTCCGGTGTTACTCTTACGTCCATTGCCCGCGAAAGTTAACGTTACTGCGAGATAGAGAGAGGGAGAGAGCCAATAGTACTCAACGAGTACGAAAGCCACGCGGATACGGAGACTTGTTACCGTGAAGAAAATTTATTGCAATGTGAAATCTCGCGGGATCAAGATCTTGCGAGTGCCGACCTCAGACAGTCTTTCGTCGTAACGCTACTTGGCGCGCTCGAGTTTCAGAGACATGCGCGTTTGATTTGATTTACCTGAGGGTTACTTTTAGGTGAGATTCTCTGCGCTCGGGTGACGTATGGTCATTATGAGGTCATGGCATGAATATGTGACGGTATATCATGAGTCAAATTCGGGTTTCGATGCAAAAATCAAGATGCGTTAAACCGTGTCGCGAAACCCACCCACCCCCCCTCCCCCGAAAAAGATCGCGTCGAAAAAGACTGTTCTCGTGAAAGGGAAAAAAAGAAGAAAAATGAAAATCTCTCGGTTCCCGGTAGTTGGAACTGCCGTGACGGTCAAACAGTCGCGAATCTCATCGGCGAAAGATTTCACTGAGCACAAACAACAATTCTCGCGTATCTCCCTGGTGAGTTAGTAGTAAGTAGAAGAGCGTCAACGTGCGCTTAACGTTAATTGTATTCCTTCGCGTGCAGACGGTTAAAAGATACGTGACAGTCAGCGGAATGGGAAAATGCGAGTAAGTTAATCGTTAATATCGGGCACAGAGACAGCTATCGATCATCGCAGACCCATCGCGTTATCGGGAGATAATTCGCACCGCGGCCGGAAGGATCGCGAGAAGAATAAAAAAGAAAAAAAAAAGAAGAAAAAAAAAGCAAAGGGAACGAAAAGTAAGACGAGCAAAAAGACGAGGAAGAGAAATAAGAGAAGGAGGAGGGAGGAGGCAGCGAGAAATCAGCAAAACGCGAAGAAGGTCGGAGAACAGAAAAAGTGTTGCTAGAACTCAAACCTACCCTCCGGAATTACTTGTTACTAAGAACATACTGACTGATGGCACTGACCACGTAATCGTTAGCGTCGAAGTTAACGTCGCTCTTCTCGTCCGACATCGAACTTAATTCACCGGTCATGGTGTCGCCGTTGACGGTGGACGGTGCGTACATGTCCGCAGTCTGCGACTTATTAATGCCTGTGCCAAAGTGAAGAAAATGCGTGGTGAACGTGTGAATGGTGTGTGATGGCGTGTGAACGAGCGACTACGGCCGCGCGGACGACGACGACGAGTCTCCGTCTCCGTCCCGGATCGAATCGATCAGGACGTTCTCGTCTGATCGGTTCTTTTCCTTCTGTTATTTTTTGTCGCTGGAAAACCAGTTTTCGCGCGCATCGTCGTATATCTGACCGGTGCGCGCAATGTGACGCGAATCTGACACGTATTTACGCAATGAAACGTTTCTAAGAGATAATTTTTTACATCCTCATACTATAAAGGACGGCAAGCCCCGCATGTGAGGCTGAGTTTGATGTCGTCAGTCGTCGAAATTGATGCAACGAGAGGCGCTCGGCGCATCCTCTCTTATCCTCTCATCGATATCGTAAGACGCCGAGCTTCTCCAAAGTTTCGATACCGGGCCGGCAACTCATCTTACCGCGTGGCCGTAGTCAAACGCTGAAGTGAACCAGCGCGATGATCCTCTCTATAGTTCGGAGTGCGTGATCGCGCTAAGGTAATCTTGGTCGTGAACTTACGAGCTTTACTTCGCTTTCGTACTATGTACCACAACATGATGAAGACATTAACGATAAAAAAGATGACGGAAGTCGCTGCGAACGTATAGACATAATTCATCGGAAAGTCGCCCTTTTCCAACAGGACGTCCTGCAGATTTTCCTCTTTATTCGGTCCTAGGAAAATAAAGGAGAAAAAGGACACATGATAATATCATATTTACCAGCACGCTGGGCCTTCTTTCTCGACTTTATTGTAGCAAAGACTATGGGCGCGGCAATGAGTAGGCAAGCAGAGGCAGAAACAGTGATGATAATGACGATGATGTAGGAGGAACTATTCTCGCTTGATGTCAACTCGGTTGGTGGCGCCTCGCCTGTAACCCAAGCCAATGCCCCATCACCGGTTTGTTATTCATGCAACGAGTGAATCTACATTGTTAGTCATGTTCAACCTCGACGTCCTGCGATCGCTGCGGGACACGTTCGTGCCGCTTTCCAGCGGCCAGAGACGCTCATTTGACCAATCGCACGCGGAGATGAAGGATCTCGGCTGAATTCTCTTAACGCGACCGAATGAACGCACCGAACACATTTTGAGCCTCGAACGGACAAAATTTCTCTACGACGCGCGCGCGCGAATCGAATCCGGTTCTGAGAATCGGAACTTTCGTTGCCTCGAAACGAGAACGCGTTTGGTGCCTCGTAAGTCCTCGCGTTAATCGGCCCAGCCTCTTTTCCTCCGCGGGCGCGCGCGCGCGCGCGCGCCGAGCGAATACCGAGGTGGGAGTCGAGCGGTCCCCAAGACCGCTTATACTCGTTCATCTTGTCTGTTTTATCTCAGCGGCCTCTTGAGAAATGACAAACGGGTAACCCCGCCGTGCACGATCCTTCTCTCTCTCTCTTTTCCGCTTGACGTAAATGCCGCTGAGATAATGTCGCTCGCGCGGGCGACAATTTGCGCGCAGTTTACGTCGGCTCTCCACCCTTACACCCCCGCGACTTATTCGATACTCCACTTCTCCACGTAAGCCTGTTGTTACGCGGCCGTGCTTCACCGTAAAGCACGGCGTGTCGCGCGCGAACGGACGGGATTGATGACGCCGTCGAAAAAAGAAACACGTCGAAGCCAAGCGTCGTCGGCGCGTTCACGACACGCGTCACGACGCGACGCTGTCACGAACGACTCATGCTGACGGGGAGGAAATCGCCCCGGTGTTACGCGGCTAATCCGGATTACGAACGACTTGGAAATACATTACGCGCCCACGTAATGTCCGGCGTACACTTGTTATAACTAACCTACATTGTAAATGCCATGCGAACATTCATGAGACACACTAAACGTACATAATGTAATACACGATGAACCTAATTACTGAGTATGATTAATTATGTGGATGCGGGCAATCGCGTTTAATTATGTTCGATGATCTGCATAATGATTTAGCAAGCCGTTATTTTCCACCATGTAGCGTGAATAATGATCTACTGCCTGTTTAATGTAAATAATTCGTTGTTGAAGGGAAAAGTTGCCGTACATACGACTGTAATTTCGGCGGGTTCTAGGTAATTTCTGTAATTTTACTGACGGACTGCCGGGCAGTCCGGCGTCCTGAGACTCAAATTATCGCTATTTTGCTCTGATATGCGTGTCGATATCAATCGGTAATAGACCCCGAGAATTAAAACGCACCGCCGAAATTACAGCGGATAAATTAACCAGCTTTATTTGTACGGGCAATATTAATTCTCGCGAGTGTTCACGCTATTTTGCGAATATCGCTCCATGAGAAGTTAGCGCGTTTCCTTTTCTCTTTTCTACGGGAGGATTCTACGAATTTTCTCTGTCTAGTGGAAAAGCGCGAGCAGAGGTACATGTGTGTACGTATGTATGTGTGTGTTGTGTGTCTGTCTGTCTGTCTGTCTGTCTGTCTACGGTGTTTATTAGTTCGACTTACGGAGCGTCTGGACTTTGAGGAGGTCCGGCAAGAAGCCGCTGTCCCCCTTCTCGTTGATAGCTTTCACGCTAAACACGTAATAAGTCCCGAGAGACAGGCCGGATATCGTGGCCTTATAGTCGCCGGGCGAGATGTCGAGGTAGTGGTAGCGATCCTCGTAATCCAGCGCCTGTCTCCAGCGTATTTGATGGGACGTCGGCAGGCCGCCGTCGAAGCCGCGTTTCCAGATTATCGTGACCGAGTCGTGGGTGACGTTGTAGACCTCCAGGTCGCTCGGCTTGTCCGGCGACGACGTCACGTCCAGGTGTATGTCGTCTATGGAGTAGCCCATCTTGTTCTGCGCGCGACACTGATACTTTCCGTAGTCTTGCGACCTCACGTGGTTGATGGTCAGCATCGTCTCCGAGGACAGCTCGGACATCTGAGAGCGACACAAGGACACCATGTAAATCCGTGATATCCGTCAACACGTTGACCGCCGGGCTGAGCGTGTGAGTCCCAGCAGGCTCCTATTCTCGATACGTCGTGTTAATGACATTTTGATATTTAACGACAACAACGACGAAAGGACAATTTCATAGTCAGTGAAATTTTGTCGCTTCCCGCTTTTTCGATGTCCTTCGACATACTTGGTAATATTATTCCCAATCTCGGGCGAGTGAAACCGTCCTCTCGCTCACAAATGGCTGAGAGGACTCCTGCGGAAACTCACGTGTCACTTAGATATGGATGACACGGCGTCCAACATGTTGAAGACGCATTTGTCATCTCCCGCTTTGCGGAAATCAGAGCTCGTTCGACATTTTGGGCGTAGCAATCTCGGAATGTAAATTTTTCGCTGAACTTTTAATGGATAATCTCTCCGTTCCCCCTTTCTCCTTCGTCGTTCTTCTCTTATTTGAAAAATCAAACGTCAAAACAGTGATTTAATCTTCGACGACGAATAATCTCATTTGCCAACTGCGAACTCTCTACCGAGATGGAAGAGCTCGATTGAAATGCAATGTAGAATAGGAGCGAAGATACGCGCGGCTACAACAACGCCGGCTAAAGATCGAACGACTCTCCAAAGCAAAGATACAACCCTCTTCCCCTCCGCTCTCCGCTATTCGCGAGTCGGAGGATTCGTTGTTTAAGAGATAAGTAATTACAATAAAGTGACTTACGTCGCTGTGAGTGATACTGTATTTATTCTCGGTTGCGTTCGGCAATAAAGTTTTCCCGTTGAAGATCCAAGTGAAGCGTGGCAATGGAGATCCTCGCGCTTTACAGTGCAAATCGACGTTTATTCCTTTGTTCGCGGCTGCCTTCCGCGTCAGCGGGGTGTTCGTCATTTCCGGTTTAACTGCACATAAAAGTACCAGTAAATCCTTTATTACGCGCCCTTCGATATACACTGCCGCGGAATGCCCTACGCATATATCTCGCGCAGTTTACGTATTCCGTAATAATATTTTTGCAAGCTTTTTGCTTCTCTTTTTCTCTCCTTCTCTCTTTGGCAAGACACGCACGGCATGAGCGGCATCCTTTTTCGACAATTGTCATCCACAATTGTCATACGGCTCCTAGGTGTCGCGCTCGATAATTAATTGCCGAACAGTCGCGTGTAATTATTATCGCGCGTAATAGTAACAGCGGCGCGTCACTTAATTATTAACATCACCGATAATTGGTCAGTAGGCTCCGCCGACTTATCGACACTGGTCGCCGGCTACAATGGCAAGACCGATCAGTATTATTTACCGCGAGCATATTCGATAACGGTTCCGTACTTTTTACACCAGATTCTCGTTACGTCCTGCAAATGTATTGCGCTCGAAATTCTCTCTCTCTCTCTCTCTCTCTCTCTCGCTCTCTCTCTCGGCCCGTTTCCACCCTTCTTTCCGCTTTTTTCCCTCCCGAAAAACCCAGTCTGTACTTGCCGTGGAACAATACGGCGGATCGCAGCAGATCGTTAGACCGGATGCGTGACGATTGAATCTCCGGACGATACGCGCGCGGCGCAATTAAATTATCTGGCTGATACGCAATAATTAAATCCCGTCGATTCCGCCGATCGTAGTTCTCATCGTGAGCGCGCCCGATGTGAACGTAATCCTCTCCCTCGCGAGTACCCACCGCTCGTGTAACACAGAATTCGAATACGTACAGTTCGTGATGAAGAGAATGGGATCCGACGTGACGTTGCCGATGCCGTTGTTGACCTTGCAGCGATACTCGCCGACATCCTCTTGGCTGGGGTCCTCTATGTGAAGGTACGACGTGCGGTTGACGAAGGACGTCGAGTAACGGCCCGGTAATTCCGGATTCGAGCCCACCTTTTGCCAGGTGACGTACTCGTCGCCGATCGGGCTGCCGTCCACCTCGCAGAACAGCTTCGCCTCGATACCGGGCGGATAAACTATCCCCGACGACGAGGTCCGCTTGATCTTGGCCGGATCTGCGGGGATCGTCGCGGGCGAAACGATAAGTTTGCGGACTCGCGCGTGTCACAGACGACGATGTCTCCCGAGGTGCGCGAGAGGAAAGAGTCGTCGCCAAGTTGTGGCCCGCATAGTCGTTGGAATATTGAAGCGAGAATTAAAAGAAGAAGGAAAAGGATAGAGGGAGTAGGAGATGACTCAACACGGGGAGAAAGGAAAATCTAATAGAGGCTGACTGAAAATTGTTCATATGAGAGAGATTCAGGGGAGGAGACAATGACGTGTGCGGAGAAACGGGGAGGGCTGAAGGGTGGGAAAAGTTGGCAGATAATTATGAAATAATGTCACGGACGCGTTAACTCGGAGGCTTGGAGATCGATCATTTGCCGAAGTACTTGTCGAGCCGAAACTTCGCCCCCGGGACGTCGCCGAAAGTTCGCCTAACGAAATCCCGCGGCTGATCGAGAGCGGCGCAATTTCATCGCGATTACGCGAGTAGTTCGCGGTGATGGCGTTACTTACACTGCACCGTGAGGTTCAGCTGGTAAAAAGTGGTGCCCTCCTTGTTAAGCGCCTCGCATATGTACGTGCCGGCGTCATGACGATCCAGCCTCGTGATATTCAGCGTGGAGCCGTGCGCGGTAATTCTCTTACCGCTGCCGCTGCCGAGCGGTAAACCATCCCTCGTCCACGTGTACTCCGTCGTGTTGGGATTGCCCCTTGCCGATACGGAAATCACAAAGGGCTCGCCCTCCAGCCCGGTCAGCTCGTACGGATCCAGCGGCGAGAATATCGGCTTGTCTGCGAGAGGAGAACGGAATGAGCGCGTGACGCGTCGCGGCTGCCGCTGTGCGTTATTTCGCCGGCGTCGAAATCGCGATTGTCTCGTGTTAGAAATCGTCCCGTCGTGGGTGATGGAATTTCGATGTTTTTTTCCGGACAGGCGTAAGCGGATACGCGATCGGGTGTGACTACAAATGCACGGTGAAATAATTATAGCCGAGGGAATTATTTTTCCAACGCGAGCGCTGTCCTACATTTTTTCCACACGATACGGTAAACAAATACAGTCGGCTGCGATATTATCAATATTATTATTATTATTATTATCGCCGAAGGCTCATGTCGCGGTCGAGTTTTATCGAGAGTAATCGTGTGATAATCACACGGAGCTTTAACGATCCTTACGTTGGAATTACCGTTGGACGGCAGGGCGATATAATCAAGGAAGAGATATAATGACGCTATAAATGTAATGATCAAGAGTAATCTAAGACGTCGAGTCGTATTCTATTTTCATCGCGATCGCATCGCTAAATTTCCCGGCGCACTCGCCGCGGCCGTTAAGCCGGCGTGCATTATCGCGCGCCGTAGCGTCGTATGAAATACACTTTTGCGTAGCATCGCGGAATTTCTACGAACGCGCAAGCCCGCGTTGATCCGGGGTATCTGGAAATACCGACGAAGAGAGAGGAAGAGAGAATGAGATGAGGGAGAGAGATCGGACCTAAGTAGCGCGTTACCGCGGACGTTTTCCGGGTTGAACGTTCCCTGTCTCTCCCTCTTTTACGCGCTCGATCGCGCTCGCGTGCCTGCCTGCGTGCGTGCGTGCGTGCGTGCGTGCGTGCGTGCGTGCGTGCCGATCTAAGCCGATACACAGATTATGTCATTAAAGCGATACTTAGACGTATACTTACAGAGCACGTCCAGCGTGGTAGCGTCGTGGATGGATCTCCCCAATTCTGTATTCTTGGCCTCGCAGGTGTACACCTCGCCGTTCATTTCCTCGGTCAAGTCCAACGTGAGCTCGACGAACGAGAGGAAACCGCCGTGTAATCCGGGCTTGGTGCCGTTTCTCGTGCCGGGTACCGGTATTCCGTTCTTCCACCACGACATCTCGGCGGCGGGATTGCTGCTGCTCGATTCGCAGATTATACGTCCCTCCTGGCCGGCGTGGAAGTCCTGAGGCTCGCGGTTAATCTTCACCCTTTCGGGCGGGACTGCGAAAAGGGACAGCGACTCGTCGTTAATATCGCATTCGCGATCCCGACAACGCCCGGATAAAAGGCCGGGGCAATTACGGCGCGCCGCGCCGGGTTCGATCATTTCCGTTCGTGCTGCTGCGTTTTTGTTACTTCGGACTCTCTACTTCGTCTCTCTGTGTTCGCGGGGCGATTGGTAAAAACGCGCACGATGATGGGAGTTTGATGGAACGAACGTGTATTAATAGAGATACGGCAATGCATCTCGATCCAAGTATATTTTTTTTATTTTCTCTCCCGGGAAAATCGGTCCACGCGCGGCGGATTTTAGGTTTCGACTCGTGTTAAAGTTGGGAAATTTTCGGATTATCTTCGCGAGCAACTTCCCGCTGTTGAATATTGCAGACCGTTGGTCATACTTTATAATTCCTTGCCTCGCGCTCGCGTTTCGTTCGTCCGTTTAATATTAATTACGCTTGAAACAAACGAACATATTTTTGCATACCGTCCAATTTATTTTAATTAAAATCATATAAATACGGAAGTTGCGCGCGTCGACCCGATTTTACGCTCGCAAAAAGCTCGCGCAGGAATCCGACGGACGGGAATGATCGGGCGCGGAGCGATCGTCGAGCATGATCTCCGTCGGGCGTAATTGCTACGACAGGGAAATCCGTGAACGCGCGAACCGCGTTATGTCTTACAGTTGACTTTCAACACGAGAACTTTGAGCAGGGGGATCTCCATGGCTGAATTCGTCGCCTCGCATCGCACGTGGGCGTTGTTGTCGGAGGCGTTGACGAGTATCGGCAGCTCGCTGGAGACCGCGTGATTCCGCGTCCTCACCGTACCCTGGACCTGCGGAGGGGCAAAATGACATCGTTACAATGAGATTAACGGGGGGCTTGTTCGCGGAGGCGCGAATCAAGCAAGTATTGCTGCCATTATTATTTCTCTCGATCGGATTAAGTTTCCAGTCGAAGAGTTCGCTTTGCTTCGACGCGAAATTCGACGTTACATTCAATGCAACGCACAGGTAACAATGTCGACCAGTCCCTTGGCCAGCGTTCTGCCGGCAGAACTCTGGCCAAGGGACAGCGCATCGACAGCGACAGCGACGACGATAATTTGATCGCCGGGTCAGAGTCAAATTTTCGCCCCGAAAATCGAAACCAACTTTTCGACCGATCCGACAGCATTTGCGGGAAACGCGAATTTCCGCGATTAGCGCGCCCATGCGGCGACCCGCAGCCGGGATCTGCGACAATTGTGTTCACGTACCTTGCGATCGTTCTTGTACCACGTTAACGTGGCCAGTGGATTACCCGCCGTGGCGGTGCACATGAGCCTCAGCACCGTCCCGGCGGAGATCGTCGTGCCCTCCTCGTATCCGGTAACGATTAGTTTCGAGGGTGGATCTGCGAGGTCAGACATCCGTCAGAGAGCCGTGATTTTTGCCACGTTACGAACTTTCGCGTTTCTTTTTTTTTCTTCCACGTCTTTGCGCGCAGACCGGCCAATATTTCCGTCAAATGCGGGACAGTGGAAAAAGCAACCGGGCAGAAATTTATACAACAATAGAAAAAAATTTTCAAACCGCGCAGGAACGTGGAGGAGAAAACGAAACGAAACCAAGTTCCTTCTGTTTTTGCCACGACGTTTATCACGTTTATCACGTTTGCATTTTGCGATCCCTCTTCTCTTTCTCTCCCGTCGATCTCTGTTGCCTTCTCTATCGAGCCGACCACGCCGATAGGTATTCTCAATGAAGGCTCCGCGATAAATAAATTTCAGCAGCTTTATGGAATACGGCTGCATCGCCGACGCGAGTGGCATTCATTATTGCCTCGGATTGCGCGAACCGTATTATTAATTAGAGGCCAACTAATTGTTTAGTATATTCGGATAGCGAGTAATTTTAATGTATGTAATTACAAGCTGCAAAACACAGTTGATTATTCAAGGATTATTTATTTACGACGGAAATTAATGTCGGTCGATTATGGATATATCGCGAGGGAGCGTTTCGCGCGCGGCACGCGCAATGTCGACTATGTTAAATGAATTCTGTCCGACTGACTCCTCTCTCTCTATCTCTGTCTCTGTCCATCTCACGAAGGGGGAGAGAGACGGTAGATATGGATGAGGACGTATTGCGTGCGTACGCCCGGGACCCCGGATAATGCCACGGCGCGGTCGATTAATTTGTCATCGCGTGCCGAAGATGTCAACGACAACGGTCATGTTGTTATCCAATTGCCTCCAACGCGTTACAAATTGCTCGGCGGCTCGAAGAAACGAAAGCGCACGGCGTATCCACAGTATACACATGGCAACACGAAGTGTTGAACCTCCTCGTGAAGAAACATTCGCGCGCGCGCTTTGCAACATTCCACCTCGGAGCGCTCGTTACATTTTTATCCTACGACGACGTTGGGCGGCTTCGCCCGGCGACGTGTCGCTTCGGCACACACGCGCCGTGATTGCGCATAAATCGCACTGCGGAGGATACCGCCGGCGCGATACCAGACGGAGAGGGTCGGGGGGAGGAGGATCCACTTTGTGTAATAATAATACTACTCCCGAAGTAGAGATCGACGAGCACGATATAGAGGCAAGGGCGCAGGGACGGTGTTTCGCGTTTTAATCAAATCACACGTTCCGCGGCTTCAAGAGCGCGGCGAGAGGGCTCTTCCTCAGCAGCGAGGCCACCCTACCGCGAAGGGGTGGGTCGCTTCCGCGAGTGAAGCTGCCGCCGGGGCGCGTAAAGCGGCCAACAAACTTCGCTCTCCTCAGCCGCGCTCAGCTCGAGACATCGACACTTTGCCCCTGCGAGAGCGCGGCCAATGGGGGGAGGAGGAGTGATTCATCTAACGTATAAGCGCGCTAAGAAATCTAATACAGACAATCGACGATCGGAGAAGAGTCATTCTCCGCCGTAGCCCCCGGGCTAGCTCCGGAACACCCGGTACGTTCTTTGACGCGGGGTTGAAATTAGATTTCCGCCGCGGGCGAGAGCGGATGAGAGGAAGAGGAAGAGAGAGAGAGAGAGAGAGAGAGAGAGCAAGTCTCGTTACACACGACTGTGCGATGTACGGCGCGAGTGCATCGGCGCCGAGTGACTGGCAGTCTCTCGCGCGAAATTCTACGACACCGAGGAGGAACTCGCTCACATATCACGTTGATGGTGTGCGTGCCGACCACGTTCTCCGTGAGCTTCACGTTGGAAGCGTGGCAGATGACGACGATGCTGCGGCTCTTGCGATTAATGCTGAACGTCACGTTCGAGCTGGTGATCCAGCCGCCGTTCGGCGCCGGCTCTGTCTTCGAGGCGTTGCTCTCGAAATTATGTCCGTCCACCGTCCACTTTATGTCCGCCGGCGGATTCGAGTTCTCCGTCGTGCAAGTGATGAGCACCTGGTCGTCCGCCTTGGCCTCCGTCGGCCCGGTGATGGTCACTCCGGCGGGCGCGACTGTAGCACACAAAGGAAGCGTGTGAGCAGATTCTACCTTACTTAGTGGTTACGCCTCGCGTGCGATGCGCCCGCGTCTATTGCTGTCGCGACTTCGCGAAGACGCTCTCTAAGAGAGAACGAGAGCGAGAGACGGGAGCGGAGCGAGCGGAGAAACGAAGGATTCTCAAGGATCTCGCGCTCGAGTCGCGCGAGTTTCATCGTCGTCTGGAAATTTCAAACGTCGCTTCTTCATCATTGAGCAGGCTCCATGGAAGGACAAGCGACTTCGTTTCTCCTCGCGTCGTTCTCCGTCGCGTCTCTCGCTCGCACTCGTGACGGAATTAAGGAGCGAGATCGATCATTACTCGATGGGCCACGGTGCATGTGCAGTCGGAGTTATTGAACGTGCGGTTTTACACGATCTTGAAATTTCACCAAGCACCTCTCTCCGCTAGCGAGAGAGAGAGAGAGAGCCGTCGGGGAATTGCTTGCTTGGGGCCGGAGGAGGGAGCGGGGGGAGGATGAGGGCGAGGGAAACTAATGTCACTCGCTGTCGTAAACTCTCGTCCCCGAAGTCGAGGTCGTAAAAAGTATGCGGAATAATGTTTATTGACAGGCTGTCAATAACCGCGGCCGGCGGCGCCGACAGCTGTAGTTCTCGGCCCTAAGCGTCCTAAGCGCACGCGGCAAGCCAGCTGCGGGCATTTTGCGGCTCTATCCGTATATCACGCGCGGGCATAAAGTTAGCAAAATTCCAATTTGGGTAAACGCGCGCGCGCACACACACACACACACACACACACACACACACACACAGCCCCGGCGTGAAAATGGGCGAGACGGGAATTATTTATGCGGCTGTTCCGTCGGCGAGAAGATCGTGCAACCTTAGTCGCGCTAGGTGATGCTATTGCGCCTAGCGCGGTAAAATAATGGTAAGTGCCACGGACAGGTTCCAGTCGGCATTAATTTTCCAGCGCCTTAAGTACATTTCGAGTATCACCTGCGGAAAATACGCGCTTCCCGGCGAGGCGGGCGAACCCCGGGGGAACATTTAAATAAGTGAAATCTCGAAATTCACGTTCTTCCCGTTATTCCTCCCAAGGCCCTACCGCTACCTTCGCCCGCCTTCGCGTCGATCGGTTCGACCGCGGTTTCCTCACGGCGACTGCGAATCGTCCCGCCGCAAGACGCGCGGCGCGGATCACCCCTGCACGGATCGCCTGCACGGCCGCGAATTAATAAATGAGCGACAATATTCGTGTAATTGCACAAAACACGAGCGACACACACGCGTGCGTGCACGCGCACGCGACATTAAACGCGGCAAATTAAAGTTCTCCGTTTCGATCCGGCATTAATGCACGCGGAGCGAGAGACAATAATAACACGTAATTACAGGGGAGCGATGATACCTGCACACACACACACACACACACACACCCCACATATATATTATACATACCTCGCGTAAGTGACAAGAGGAGGGAGGGTGGCAAGGGAGGTGCTAAGGGTGAGAGGGAGGTGGGGAGAGGCTGCTGCTGCTGCTCCTCAGTCCTCCTCCTCGCGGGAGAGTTTCTCGAAATGCAATTTGCGGCGTTTTACGGCGGCGCGCTACCTCACCGCGAGGCGCGCGCAATTATCGCACACACTTACAGAGCACGGTGAGATCGACGTGCACCTTCATGGGCTGCACGCTCATGATGTTGGAGACCTCGCATCTGTAGCGGGCCTTCTCGTCCTGCGCCCTGGCCGTGAACGAGAGCACGTTCTCGGACGCGCCGCCCTCGGTGCGGTAGCTGCGCGAGATCTGCTCGTCGTTCCTGAACCAGATAATTTGCGCCGGCGGATTTCCACCGCGTGATCGACAGGCGAGCTCCACGTTCTGCCCGCGCTGCACGGTCTCGCCCTCGGTGTAGCCTTCTATGTACGGCGGCCCGGGTGGATCTGCGGGACAAGGCGGTGACGCGACGGCGCCGTTAGAGAGAGATGCCTTCCGCACGCGCTAGCGAAACTTACTCGCGCGAGAGAGAGAGAGAGAGAGAGTCCGGCTAATTGGAATCGGAAGAGCGCTTCTCGCGGCCGGCCGGCCGACTCGGCTAGTTGCAGATACTCGCGTCGTTCCGTGTAAAGGTGACAATCGCGATCAAACTCTGTCGCGCTGATTTAATGTTGCCGGTTGCGCCGCGCGCGCGCGCTCGGAGAGCTCCGGAGCGGCTCGCGAGCGTAATCGAACGGCGGAAGAGCGGCCGCGAACGGAGAAGCACAGCGACAAGGTAAAAAATCTCGTCGAGGTCGTTCACGCGTAGCTCGCGCGCGCGCCGATGAGATATCGCCGCCGAGTTAACAGCTAGCTAATTCGTTCTCCGCTGTCGATCGCGTTGCTCGCGTCCGCGAGAAGCCGAGCGGAGCGGAGCGAAGCGCTGATGAGGTCGAATCAAGGATCGGTGTCGACTCGCGGCCGGTTCTTTCGGTAATTTCGATAAACACGTACGTACGGCGAGGCGCAATTTTGTAGAAGCGCTCGAGAAGGAGAGGAACCTCTCGAGAGCCTCCTTTTTCTCCTCTTCGCCCTTTCGTTCTTTTCGTTTCCTCGTCTCGCGCCGCCACGCCACGCCACGGCGAGAACGATCACGCGAGCGATCGTGCGGTACACGCCGGCCGGTGGTCGTGTTACTTACAGAAAACGGAGAGCTTAATGGTGGCCCGCATGGGCTTGTCTATCGGGATCGCCGGGTGGTTGGCCTCGCAGGTGTAATCCATCTCATTATCGTCCGCCGTAGGCGTGATGGTGATGGAACCGTGAGTGTCGTACTTGAGCAGCTCCTTGGACTTCTCCCCGGGCTTCCCCGTCTCCTTGTCTGCAACATTGCGCGAGAATGCGGTTAATAACGCGATAAACACCCGCGGCCGTGTCCAGGCGTCTTTTATCACTTTGCAGCCGCTACGCGAAATATATCTGCCCGCTTCGTCGCTCCCGATTATATCACACCTATCGTTCGCTTCTCCGCGTCGTCGTCGTAGCTCGTACTCGCGAATCGGGAATATGCCGGAGGGAGGGAGGGAAAAAATCGCGCGGCTAAAATTACAGCCGATCGAGCTTGAGCGCGCTTGAGAAAAATTCGGTGCATGCACGCACAAACTCAATCGATCGGCCGCAGAGCGGAGGGGAAAAATGTCGCCGCGCTCCGCGACGAGTCGCGGAGCGAATCGAGCTGAAGTAATCATAAACCGCGTCTCAAGCGGAAACGCCGTTCTCCGTGAGAAAGAGAGAGAGAGAGAGAGAGAGAGAGAGAGAGAGAGAGAGAGAGAGAGAGAGAGAGAGAGCGCGGGGGGCGGGATTCGCGGATATCGCCGCTTAATCGCGCCGGATTAAATACGCGCGAAGGTGATCCAGCGAGAGACGGAGGTCTCGGATTAATTTAAAAGCGGCGAGCGAGGTGAACGGCACGAGCGGGGGCGGCGCGCCCCGCGGGCACGATGATACGTAATTTACGTCGGAGTTGAACGCGCGTCGTCGCTGCGAGAAAGATATAGCAGCGCGCGCGAGCGCTCCTTTAAATCTCCGCTAAAAGCCCCGGACGAGCTTTTACGCGAAAGCGCGGCTCGACGGCTCTTTATTCCGCCGTCGCAGTCCACGCCGCGGTGGCGGCGGCAACATACAGTTTTCGGAAACGCGCCGGCTACAAATGCTCTCGGCTATCAACAGTGACGCGGTTTGACTGGATGCGTAGTCGGAGAAAGATTGCTGTGAGCGCGTAACGGCGGGGGGGGGGGTGACAAAAGAGAGAGACGACGATTTATTTTCGCGCAAGCTGCGCGTGTTTCGCGCTGTTCGCAACGACGTTAAACGACGTTGCGAGCGCGCGACGCATCCCCGAACAGAGACGCGCGCAAAGGCCGGCTGCCTGGTCTGCGCGGATGTATATGTGTATGCACGCGCACAAACGAGAGCACGTTGCTCGCGCAGTCTCTCGCCGTTGGATAATGCAATTTCGAGTGAAAAAGCTCCGGCGAAACGCCTATAACTGCACTCGTAACGAGCGCTTCCTTGAGAAAGTTCTCGCCGTCGCGTCTCCACTCGTGCGGATACGCGCGCTAATAACACACAATGAGCCGGGGGAACGGCTTTTGTCTCGGCACGAAAATTGGAAATTCGTCGTTCGCGCTCGCTCGCTCGCTCGCGCAGGACGCGACGTCTCGCGCGATGTTATGAATAACGCTAAAAGCGCGCGCGCGCGCGCGCGTGCGTTTCATCTTCCGTCGAGTAATCCGCTGAATAGAAAGCGAATTTAATTTAAATACTACGGGAATTCACATCGGCGCGACTGCTTATGTGTGTTTTCCGATAATGAATTCGTGTACCGTAATAACCGCGGTGTTCGCGGCTGTACGCGTGCGGCCGCGCGACGGCAATAACGATGGGAATGTTCGTAAAACACGCTGCCAAATTTTCACGGTGTATCGAGCAGGTCGAGTCGAATGGGAAAAAGCGAGCGCGCACGCTCGTCGAGATGCTCGGCCGTCCAGACGGCCGGTTGAACGGGACGCAATCAGCCGCCGATTCTTCTAATCTCCTCTCGAGCGTTTTCCCATCGCCGACACACCCCGACTGAAATTTGCCCGGCGCCGCGCGAATTATTCTTCCGTGTTCTCATGAAAAAAAACTCAACATTTCACGGAGGGATTTTCCGTCTGTCGATTTAGACGCCGATTAACCAGTCCGAGTTGATCCATATACTCTCCGTCCATATAAAAATTCACCGAGAAATACATTTCCCCGGCAAAAAATTTCCCGTTCCTTTCTTTTTTCTCCGGCAGATCTCGCTGTCCGGATCTCTCAATTTCCAAATGTGCCGCTCGTAACGACGACAGACACCGTTCGACGATCGACCTCCGCGGTTCGCCGCGGAGAGTTTAAAGCCGCGCGCGTCCCTCGTTTTCGCATATCGCACGCGCGCGCGCGAGCTTCTCTTCATTCCGCCGCGCTATTTACCGACGTCCTTATCGGGATGCATTTTAGCCCCGGTAGCGGGTTTTAGCGGCGGTAAAGCGGCGAGCCGGCCGATGCAATCGTTTGATGTCTCGTCGGCCTGTCTCCGGCGAATATAAAAACGCAAGCGGCGACGGCGGCGACGGCGGCGGCGGCGGCGGCGGCGGCGGCGAGCGCGGGCGAGAGACAGAACGTCAATTTCGGTAGTTGGAACGCGGCCAGAATTGTGTGTCATGGGATCGATCGAAGATGCTTGGCAACTGGATGCGCCGCTCGCTGTAGGGAGGCGTCCCGACGCCGCCGTCCCATCTTTCCGCCGCGCTTCCAGCGCGCGCGCGTCGCGGCGCTGAAAAACCCGCAGCAGCGGCCGATAAAACTCGAGATTACTTATTCGCCTCAGAGCTCGCTCGCCTCCTCATCGCCAACGCGTGCGCCCTGTGTGTACGCGTCGCGTCGTCGCCGTCGCTTTCGCTATCTCCGTATCTCCCTCTAACTAGCAATTACGACGATCGGCCTGATTAATTCTGACAAAGATCTGGAGCGTCGCAACGCGGTGAGCGTAATCCCGCGCACGACTGAATATATCACGATTATCATCAGATTGGACTTGGAAAGGACGGCCGACGCGGAGTGAAATTTTTCAACGCGTAGGGACAGAGAAATGAATCGACTGAGAGAGAGAGAGAGAGAGAGAGAGGAGAGAGAGAGAGAGATGCAAAATTGAATTCGTGAAGCATAGAAAAGCGTACCTCGCTAATCGAGATACGATCAGTCGCGGCGAATCTGTACTGCGGACGCGATTGCGGTCGGCGGAAAGCTTGACCGTGCGTCGCGGAGAGATATCCGGAGAGGTATCTAAAGAGCGCCACGCGCGCGACGGCAATATTTGCGTCCGATGCAATTTAATTAGACGATACCGCGCGTCCGCGTCCGCATCCGAGACGCGGCTTATCCGCGCACGTATAACGCGCGCGCGCGCGCGCGCGTGCGCGAACGAGGGAGCGCCCGTTTAATCCTCGTCGCGTAATAACCATGATATATTCATTCGCGCGGGATTATCGTAATCGAATATCACGCACGTAACAGGATAGTGTCTACTTACCACCCTGAATGGAGATTGCGCTGATAGTGGTGTCGCCGCCCTTGATCTGCACGTTGCCGCGATACCAAATGATCGAAGCGGCCGGCTTGGCGGAACGGACGATGCACTCGAGCCGCCGCGACTCGCCCACCTTCATCTCGATCTTCTTCTTGTTCGGGTGACTGCTGATCTCCACCTTGCGCGGGGGTGCTGGAATGAGAAGAGGGCGGAATTGCAGACTGCAGTCGTCGCGTGGAAACATGTCGACATTCTCTCCCGCCGGGATCACCGGACGACCCTTTTCCGCGATTAAACGCGAGACTCAAAGCGCGGCGGAGTTCGTTGACACCGTGAGATCTATACTCGACGTTATTTTAATTATTTTTCGAATATGGAACGATACAGAAGGCCGGGGGGCAGCGAGCGAGGGTCGCGACTCGGTCTACCGAGCGCTCCAAACTCAACGATATTCTAATTTAGAGCCGATCCTCGTCCTAATGAGGACGAACCGAGCGTCGTCGCCTCTCTTATAATTCCCCGATAATCGATATTAAATATCCCGGTAATTAAGTTTCACATTAAGGATTCTCTGTGCAAGTTTTTGCTGAAATTTAATCAAAGAATAAGAGATCCTGCCTGTTCTAACAGTCTCCGAGATACAGAGAGAAACACACACATACGCACACACACACACACAGAGAGAGAGAGAGAGAGAGAGAGAGAGAGCTTACTCGGCGGGGAAGCTGCTTTTCTGAAAATCGTGCTTCGGTCGAGCATCACGCCGCTCGAGAGAGAGAGCCGTGCTTGCTGATCTTCGCGTCGCAAGCACGAGTCTCGCTCGGCTAAGTAAGCCGCGGACGGTGCGAAAAGCAGTGCGTACCGCTTCCATCGTTTCCAGGCGAATCATGCACACAGATTTCCCGACGGTGGGCGATAAACGACGCAATCTGCTGATTTCGAGCGATCCCGAAATCCGAAAATCCGCCCGCTTTTATAGCACGCGCGTGTTTTATAGCACGCGCTTGTGCGCGCTTGTGCGCGTGCGCGCGCACAGGCGATCGCCGGCGCATCGAGTTAATTTAATGTCAGGTGTAGCGCGCGGGGCGATTTATTATCGGCGGATATTCTATTAAGCGCCTGTGGAAAAGCGTTCTCGCCGGCGCAATAATTATATACGGCCGGGTGTGGCCCGGCCGCGCGCGAGAACCCGATCGAAATGCCTCCACTTAGGCGCGCGATAACTCTCGCGCGCGGCGCGACTACGTGACCGCGGCGGAAAGCGCATGTAGATTGGCGCGGGATAAGAGGATTACGTGCGATAATGACGCGGCGCACGAAGACGGGCATTCTTTCGGCATGAGGCGAGCGCTGATGATAATTGGAGAGTCGCGGGGATAATCGCGTGTTATGATTCGCAAGAGATGTTGCGCTCACTCTCTCTCTCTCTCTCTCTCTTTCTCTGTGTGTCTCTCCACCTCTCTCTTTCTCTTTCTCACCTGTTCGCACTCGCGTGAGACAGGTGCGTTTCGATGATACGATATGATCGAGAGGAGCTGAATCGGCGCGATCGCCCGCCGCGAGAGAGATCGAAGTTTGTGTTTCTGAATCGTAATTGTACGTATTTCCGGCTGACGCATTTAAGGCGGAGCGAGGCGAGATCCCAGGGAGAGAAGACGAGGGACAATTAGTCGAGTAGAAAAATTAATATAGCTCTGGTAAGGGCCGGATTATTTTTCCCTAATATTAATCGGGCCCTAGTAAGGATAGAAAGACAAGGGCCCCGCAAGATGTGTAACAAATGATTTAACGGGTCCTTGTAAGGCAATATTAATAGGGCCTTATAAGGAAATATTTTTATTATTGCTCGAGTAAAAATATTCGTTCTTTTCACTCCAAGAAATTTAGACTGCAATTTCTTTGCAACCTTGTTAATGTACAAGAATTTTTTATATTAAAAATATAGCATACTTTACAATAAAATATAGCATTCTTTACACATAAAAATCCTGCTACTGTTTTATATTAAAGTTTGCTACTTTTCAAAACGAAGGCAATACCAGAAAAATTCTTGGAGCAGACTAATGAATATGGCAACTAATAAAACTAATAAAATCTGTTTTCAATTGCGTTATAATTAAAAAATCTTTAAAAGAACCAGATAGAGCGTACCTACTAAAACAATACTAAACTGTGACAATTTTATTATACGCTTCAGATCTTATTAATTTTCTGTGACAAAACTTGATTTTGTATATCAAAAGCATCCTCTTAAAAGATCCTTCTAAGGTCCACATCAATTTCCCATGTTAAAGTGTTATTTCGTAAAATCCAAGGCATCCCTAAAAAATCCTTCTAAGGCCCTTCTCAGGCTTTCCCCATCAAAGCCTTATTTATTAAATCTAAAGCACTCCTAATAAATCCTTCTAGAACCCTCATAAGTTTTCCTTATCAAAGCCTTATTTTGTAAAATCTAAGGTATCCCTAAAAGACCCATCTCGGGACTTGATGTGGTAATAATCAAAGATGTGGTAAAAATCTCTTTTTAGGGCATCCTACTTTCAGCTTTATCGAGGCCTTATACTTCATGAGAATGAAGTACCCTAAAAGAATGATACCCTAACAATGTTTTACTCAGGTACCTGCTTGTGAACCGCTGGTTTCAATTTAATTACCGCGGTCGACCGGCCGGCTTTCTCATCGCGCGCGCTGACACAATGTAATTTTTCGATTTATTACGAATCTATGACAAATCGAGGAGCTGTCATCGCGGGCGTATTATCGAGGACTACTTGTGCATATCCATTCAGTCATTCGCGCGATTCGTCGACGATGTATCAAACCGAGTGCCGGGTGCTTCTCGCTATTGACACAGCTGGACGCAGCGTACTTCATGTAATAACACGTACCCCAGGATAAATAGGATCCATGGAACCGACCCGGTTGCCGGTGAATCGCACGGCTCCCCGTTAATAAAAATTTCAGTCGACCTCGCGGCCTTTGCGCCGCGCCCATCACCGTGCTGTTTTCAACAGCGCACAGTTTCCAGAAGGACCTCGCGGAAAGCCGCGGCGCGGCGACTTTCCTCGCGTATGTAGCGTGTGTCCGGCATGATGAATCGAAGATAAATCGTATCATGCGTAGTAACGCGCGCAATTACCCACTTAACGAGGCTCAACGAGGAATCGATGAGAAACCTCATCGCCGAGGATCCAAATCATTCGGCGTGTCGTCACGCGACGAAGGATCAGCGTTTGTAATCGCAGCCCGCTCGACGCTCTCCGCTGCCCCGCCTCTCTGCGGGCTCCACCCTGTCGCCGTGAAAAATTTCGCACCTCCGTAAGACGACCGCACGCACGACGTCGTCGCTCCTCGTGGCAAATTCGCGCTCATCCGTCACAGAAGCAAGCCAAAGTTCACGCGCGAACGCCCCCATTTTTACGGCGTGTTTCGCGACAGACCTTACGCAGCCGAACGACAACGAAGACGATGAGGAGGAAAGCGAGGACGACGAGGTGAGGAGGGGGGGAGGGGAGCAAACGGCGCTGATGCTGGTAATCCGGCGGCACCGCCATCCGCCCCCGCTGCTCGAGAGTTTATATTGGCAGTCGCTCGGCAATCCTCCGGGGGATGCACGCGACTGGCGCGAGAGAGGAGCGCGACTACTCTATCCGGAAGCTACTTCGTCACCGTGAACCCCTTTCCTCCGTCAGCCCCGCGTGATGTAGCCCGGCGCTCGTCGAGACGTCGTCGTGCTGGTCGACGCCGCGCGCACCCCTGCGCGCGCGATGGTCGCTACCCATTACAAAGCCGAGATAAATTTTCCCACTTCGATATCCCCCCGGGCGCATTCGGGGGCCACGTTCGTCTTCTCGGGGGCGTCGCATTCCGCCAGGATGCACCGGCGCCGATATAAAGCGCGCGTACTTTCCTCGCGGCGACTGCGAGCGTTGTCGCGGCGGTTGCTCCTTTTTCGCCTTCTTCCTGTTTTTATCTCTGCTTCTCTCTCTCTCTCTCTCTCTCTCTCTCTCTGTCTCTCTGTCTCTCTCTCTCCTTCTTTGTCTTTCTCTATCTTTATGTTATTGCACCGCAAGCGAGATTATTCGCGATGTTGTCTGCAGCGTCGGAGCGCGTGGCGTTGCTGTTGTTGACGCGCCGACGACGCTTTCTCTTCGCGGGCGCGACTCTCGGGTCTCGCGACCTCGCGATTAACGACGAATTAACGAGCGGCGACGGAAACAAAGGCAGCGGCGAGCAGCGAGATTTTCTGCTATTTATCGAGTGACGAATAAGCGGCGCGCGAGTGGCGTTTCGGTCGTTTTTGCAAAACTCGCGGCGCACCTCCGCGCGACCTTGCTTCCTGCGTCTCGCTGTATCTTGGCCGGATTATTCCTGTCGTTACACATGCAGAGGACGTTCCATAGGTATCGGGTGTTTGCTCAGCCGGGAATTTCCGCGACTAGCGCGCGCAACTTTTCTCCGAGCGGTGCATCGTCGCGGGTCTGCCTGAATCCTCGATAACGCGCGTCTCGCGAGCCCTCGGCCGAAATGGAAGCGGAGCAATTATTGTCGGCGTGCGGAATGAAACGACATCGCCGTAACACGAGCAGCAGCCGAATTAAATTCAAATTGCAGTGTCGGCGCGAACGCGATGGCTATCCATCGCGCTATCGTTATCTCCGCCGTCAAACCGGTCCACGTTAGCGTCGCAGCTTCTTCCGAGCGCAGCCTCGTTTTTCGACGACGCCGCGAGGCAAGACGCTGATGTGAAGTGCCCGACTCTATCATCGACAATCCTTAAGGGGACTGGGTCTTTAAGGGTCAGATTACTGGAAAACCGTGCTTGTTTTTAATAATGATTTTGTGACGAACTGAATAAAAAATGTGCAAGAATGAAAATTTTACATATATTTATATAACATATGAAGAGCAGAAAAATTTTGTTTTTAAACAAATACTCATATAAATATACGTCCAATTTTTAATTTTAAACGCGTTTATCTCGAAATTTTATTGTTCAACTTTTTGCGGTGATTTCTCCAAAATTGAGCTTCGTATCGATTTGAAATTTTAAAGCAATAATATTTGTTCATGTGGCTCTCAGGTGAACCATGAACAACCCCGTCAAAATATTTCATTTCGAGATATTAATTTTTTTATTGTAAAAGAACTAAAAAACTTGAATTTTTTCCTAATCACAGCTGCCATTTTGT